GCGAGCCCTGCTTCGATAAGCTTGAAGCCAAGCTCGGCCACGCGATGCTCAGCATCCCCGCCACCAAGGGCTTCGAGATCGGCTCCGGTTTCGGCGGCTGCGAGGTCCCCGGCTCAATCCACAACGACCCCTTCATCGTCGACCAGACTGCAGACACCCCCCGTCTTACTACCAAGACTAATAACTCTGGCGGTATCCAGGGTGGTATCTCCAACGGCGCTTCCATCTACTTCCGCGTCGCGTTCAAGCCCGCTGCTACTATCGGCCAGGCGCAGACTACTACTACTTACAACGGCGAGGAGGGTGTCTTGGAGGCCAAGGGTCGTCATGATCCTTGTGTTACCCCCCGTGCTGTCCCTATCGTTGAGGCTATGTCATCGCTGGTTGTCATGGATGCCCTCATGGCTCAGTATGCCCGCGAGGGCGCCAAGAACTTGCTTCCCCGGAAGCCTCAGACTATTCTTACGAACCCTGCTACCGCACCCAAGGCTGCTCCTTCGTCTTAGATGGCGGAAACCTGACAAGTTATTTTAAAAAATTTTATACGCAAGCGTCATTAAAAAGGGTCATGTCTGTGTCTATATTTGTCCTTGATGTATCGTGGAGCTACAAAAGCGTTATATAGATGCCATGTTCACGCATTTACCAATTTCGGAAGAGCCTACATCCTCGTCTTTTGTGACATTGCCTAGTATACGAAATTGCCCAAGAACTGTAGTTACTTCTAAAGGCCTAATGAATCTTAAAACAAGCGATCAATTTCGGTCTCGCTATCTAATCCAACAAGCGATCACTATGCAGCGAAGCATCATAAAAGAAAAGGAAGAACATCGATTCATCAGGACAATCATCTCATCTCATCTCGGAACGGCATCAAAACATTGCTGTGGATATCAAAACGACAGAAAACAGCAGCCACCCACTCAAAAACAGTGTGACAACAAAAAACAAAGACTCCAGGCGAGAGAACGGCAAACGAAAACTCGCACGCCGAAGTTGTGTACAAACGACGCAATGCAATGCAACACAACACATCTCCAGGTGTCTCTCATAGATACAGACACCAAATCAGGCTCACACAACGAAAAAAAGAAAAAAGAAAAAAGACGAAAAAGGACATGCAAAAGTACAAGTTAGAAGGTAAAACCGGAAAAAAAGAAGGAAAAAAAGACACTCAGGAGAAGAAAACAAAATCCCAGATCTCAGATCTAGGTACTAACCCTCCGGTTCCCAGTGCCCCAACTAACAGAGCGCTCAGACAAACTATCAATATCACCAGCGGTAGCATTGACGACACGGAGTTTCTCTCGAGGAACAGTAAAAGTCGTCTGGACTCGTCGGCCCTCGGCAGCACCCTCCAAGTCCCAATCATGGACATCTTCCTCATCATCGCCGAAGCCAGCTTCGTTGCCCAGGTATCCCGGTGCGCCGACGAAAAGATCATCGCGCGTAGACCGGGCAGTGTTAAACACATCGTCTGAGACTCGCTTGCGCACGTTCCAGTCTTTGGCACCCTGCTTGCGGCGGAATAACTCCGCGGAAGCGCTGACTGCTCGACGTGGCGTACTGGGACCCGAGGCTGTGGATTGCTGGCCGGATCCGATGAGTGTACTGCGACGGTCAATGCCGGAGGCGCGGTTCACGGTGCTATCGCTACTGGCATCGGAGTATAGCTGGCTGTCGGGGCTGCGGCGGGTCATTGTTAGGGCGCGGCGCATGGTGTTTATTACCCAGTCGGAGGCTTTGGGTTTGGATTCTCGGGGCAGCTTTGAAGGGGAAGACGGTGTGGTGGTGTCAAGGGCGTCAAAGAGGAGGGAATCATTCTCTGACTGGCGGTGGGACATGTTTGTCTGGGCTGTAGAGTAGGAATCCGCTGAGACTGATTTCTCTGAGGGGGCTACGCCCTCTGGGTCACTGTGTGTTGAGGCTGCGGCGATGTATTCTAGCGACTGGCGCCCACTGCCCCAGCTCAGAGGTCGATCGACAAGGACGCCTCGTGCTTGGTTGACCTTGCCCACAGGCTGAGAGGACGCAAAGGAGAACGCTGAGTGGTCTGACAGGTTGGTACCTGTGTGTTCACTTTTTGTCGGGGACTCGGCATCCATGGATCCAATATCCTTTCGCCGACTGTAGAAAGGACCTAGGCCAACGCCGAAGATGGTGCTCCGGGGAGTTGCGTAAGGGGTATCTGAGAAGGGGTCTTCGGACTCTGCCGTCTTTACCGTGGGTCCTGTTTCAGCTGGGATGGTTGCCATGAGATGTTCTCGGAACATTGCTTCATCTTCCTCGCGTTCATCAATAGGGTGGATATCACCAGTAGCATCACTGCGCCGGTATTCACTGTTTCGGTATGAGAATGGCCTATTGTTCACCGGAGGTATCACAGGGGGTCGGGTAGTCTTGACTGGACTAGTGGGGTCCATCAGCAGCCCAGTCCTCTCCGCCGTGCCTTCGCCCTGGTTTTTCCAATTGGGTCTTGTCGTCTGGCTGCGATTTGCCGACCAAGGATACACGGGGACATCCCTTTTTTCGCTGATTGCAGAGCTCCGAATACTGCTTGCTTGGGTTGGACAATCTCGACCCCAGAAGTGAGCTCGTTCAGCCCCCAAGGCAAGTTCCCGTAGCTGTGAGTCTCGCTTTCCCTTTACGCGGCGCTTTCGATAGTAGTTCCACCCACACCAAACGATGGCCATAGCAGCAGGGCATCCAATGCCCAGTCCAACCCCTAAGCCGGCCTTTTGGGATGATGAAAGCTTGTGGGAACTGGAGGAAGCATTCGACGAACTGGTTGCAGGATTACGGTAAGAAGTGACCCAACTGCTCGAAGTCACATTGTAGAGATAGACCTGCGAGTTGGACTGTGCAGTTGCTGAGGCCCGTTTCGAGGATGATTTCGGGATATTATAGCCCCCAGAAATCATCATCACACCCCCAGGGAGCATTGCAGCTCCATGTCCAAAGATGCCAGCACCCTTGGCGATCCCCAATCCTTCAAAAGAGGGCGCTGTCCAGATCCATTCGGTGGCTCCGCCAAACCCTTCTGCAAGATCCAGAACTGCAAATTGCGGCTCAGCAGGGACAGTCATATCACCCACCCAACCTCCGAATACAAACACTTTACTGCCATCTTCCGAGAGAACCGCAGTGTGACCGGAGCGAGGTTCAATAGAAACCGTATCGCGAACAGTCAGCTCAGTCTTTGGTGTGGAATTCGAGGTTGCAGAAACAAAGCTCCAGCTTTGCTGTGGCAGCGAGAAAATGGCAAGTTGCGACATGTTAAGGAACGCCTCCCTGGTATGACCACCGATAAACAAAAAGTCCTGCTGTTTCCCCGTAGACCCGGCAGCATAGGTAGGCTGGAGCGGCACGACAGCCATTCCAGCCTCCGCGACGGGCGGTGCGCGCTTGCCTGTAGTGGCAGCGGTGAATTTGGTGTTGTAGTAGGGACTCGGTCCTAACACGACTGTCGACTGGGAGTAATTGGCTGCCGAGATCCATGTTTCGTCCGTGCTGTTCGCGAATGGACACATCCCACCAAAAGCGTACATGGAGCTCTCATCTTCGTTGTGGGATGCCGAATACGTAAACCCCGCCGCCAAGTAGTTTACTGCGGTTTTTGAATCGCTGGTGATGACTGGCAGTCTATCCCAGGTCCCATTGCCGACTGAGCTTTTGTTGTTTGGGTGGAATCGCCATAGTACCGGGTTATCGGATGCGCTGTGGCAGTTCCCCGAGTAAACCGTGATGAGCCCTTGGTCATTGATGGCGGCGACAAAGCTCGAGTTCTGATCAGAAGTGGAGAAGGGTGTTCTCTTCAGCAGGGTTTGATATGATAGATTCTCGGCATCGATACTGCTGGACAGGTTGAGAGAGACGAACTCAGTTTCACCAGTGGAGCTAGGTCGGAGAATGTACGCGAGGGAGTCATTGTGTTGTGGGGAAAGGAAGACAGAGGATGGGGTGTATGGGATTGCAGTAGAGGGGTCAACTAGCGCAAGAAGCGCAAGCAAGAATGCCTTTGCCTTTCGGTGCTTCATGCTGTTTGCGATCTGAGACAATCAGAAGCAGGGATACATTCCAGGATCGGCGAACATGGCGTGCCGAAGATCTATTTTCGGACAGTGCAATGTAGATATTAAATTTGACAGGTGTCAACGTCAATGTCAATGTCAACAATGTCAACGGTAATGAAAAAGTGGAAAGGCAAAGAGATATTGAAGAGGTAACATTGTAGAGGTTTAGCAAACTTGTTTACAATCACAGGCCTCTCTCTCTATATTATCAGACCAATCATCAAGTGTACCAAGAAGTCACCTTTATTAAACCGACTTTATTTGCTCGCCCTAAACAAAGAAAGAGGGAACTTTATGGATTGCCGAGAGCTAGATCGACGCGGAATCAACCTCGTTGCCCAGCAACGGGTGGGTGATTGCGTGTTTTGATGATATAAACCTGTATTCCCTATGCAACGCATAGTACATATCAAGCCATGTACATCAGGCAGTAGGATTTAACTCCATTCATGTATGAAAACTTGATTTATTTAAATTAATCTGATTACCCGAGGTAATTTGACTTGCATCCTTTCGACGTTATCGAGATTCCCCATGTGGGCCGTGAAGAGAGCGGGTATTAGATGTGTCTCAGAGCATAACATAAATTCAATCTAGACAACTACATTTTGAAATGAACAATTTGCTCCTCTAAATAAACTAAACAGTAATTCCTAGCCTATAATTCTACTGTATCAAATCATTAGGGAAAATGTTGGGCAAAAAGGAAGCTAGAAGACTAAAAACCACCTTCGCTTAGGACGTTCTAGACACTAGGGCGATGTAAAAAGTTAGGCGAGAAGCCCCAATTTCACCGTTGAAGCGGAGGTTGTAAACGAATGTATCACTCCAGGGAACAGACATGGATGTCTTCTCATAATCCTAAGGTAAAAAGTTCATTTGATTCTTTTCACCGTACAATCAAGGATAGCTGGGGATAGTAGCTTGCTAGCCGCAGTGAAGCCCCTGCCACGCGATCAAGTCATCATCCTTATTCTTCGGGCTGATGGGCGGATCGACCTCCTTTCCGACCTGCCTCCTTGGCTCTCGGGCTTCCTGGCTCAAATTTTCCACGTGAAGCGTGGCCGCCTTTTGAAGCAATTTCCCTCTTCAGAGACTTGTGAGTTTCTTGTATTGAAATGGATACAGACTGCTTTTACTAACCTGTTTGTTGGCATCCATAGAGGCGAATCCACTGTGATGGCTAGATTGTCCACCCTTTCGAGCAATATTCTCGACCTCTTCGTGAGGTCGGTTGTGGAAATTACCGGGGTTGGGGTTGTCAACCATTGTGATAGTGATATATGTACAGAACAGTAGAATGTAATTGCAGGTGGTTGATAAATTGGAATGTATGATTCTATGCTAAATTCACAGCATATTTATACATCTAACGCCACGAGGTGTCTTTTGTCAAATGCGATGGAGTCACCTTGACGTCTATTCAACCCCAGTTTTCTATATTTGCCTCCACCGAAAACTTGCCCATCGCCTCACAACGATCCATCCCGGGGAGTTTCAAGGAATATCGCCAGCGCCATGAGAACGGAATATCGGTGCCAAGTTTTATTGATTTCGTGTTAATGTAGGCTGAAAAGCAGGTCGGAGGTTCATGTTGAAGGAAACCGCATCACTACGAGGATTGATCCTCCTTTTTGTTCTATTTAAGTAGATAAGCACATATAATTGTAGACCAAGTCAAAACGTTCAATATTTCCAAAACTAGCATGGCAGATGAGCAGGGCATCTATGGCAGCAAACTTAGAGAGTGGCAAGCAGAACTTAATAGAAGTCAGGGTTGAGGACATGACCGGTGAAGCTGTTTATATTTTGCTATAGTAATGAGGACTAGAAAGGTAGGTAAGATTATGTATATAGGGTGTTAAGGACACTATCAAAGCCAGGAGATTAATGAGCAACATTGGCTTGAATGATAAATGTCAGTGATACACTCGGCAGAGGGACTACGGGGCAATTAGATCTAGGCGATTCATCGCTTACACGAGTCTGCCAGGGTGTCCCTGCCACAAAGCAAATTGAGCCTGACTTTTGGGTTAACTCAGGATCATAGAATTAAACCGAAGGAAGGCAAGAGCTACTGGGGTCCTGGTGCCAAGGATATCGTATGATTATCCAGACCAAAAGTCCAGTTCCAAAGTTGGTGTCTATGTCCATTTTCGTCACGTCGGCGTAATTGATACCGAATTCGTAAATCACCGCCTCAACCCAAAGTTACTAATAAGCTAATCAGCAAATCAACATTAGCCTATAAAGTATACGGCACTAAAAACCAATTAACAGCATTCTAAGTATACAATTTCCAGCAAAGAATCCAAATAAATGCATACAGCCCGCAAGGATCATAGCAGCGTATTCTATTTCGTAGATGGATTAGGCATCCCCGAAGTATCAGGCCACTTACGGAAAAGATCAGCGAGATGGTCCATAGGAGCCGTTAGAAGCCCCACAGCTGTCTCGTACGGGGGCTTGTCTGGTGTACTAGGGTGAGAATGCGAAGGAACGAACATCTTCGTTCGGCCAAAGCTTTTAGAGCAGCCCTCACTATCCTCTTGGGACAAGGCTTGCTCCAGTTTAGGCAAATCGTCACTCTCCTCCTCTTTAATATGCTCAGAAAGGTTCTCCATCAGCTCTCTGATAGTAGGAACAAACTGTGTATCTGAAGGTGTCATGTTCTGGAACGCCTTCAGTTGTGTTTTAACCTAGGCACATCAACCCACGTCAGCACCATGATAGGTAGCAGAGGAGCTTAATTAACTTTCAGATGCTGATTACGGTCCTTATTGGCCATTGCTACACCATCGGAGAGCAGTTTTTCAAAGAGAGGATAAACAACAAGCTCTTCTCCAATGGAATGTCGAGCTAGTTCCCAGGTAAACAGATTTTGGAAGCGGGTCTGTTCATCCTCGTCTTTGGACGTAATTATCTTGCCATAATATGATTCAATCTCTCGGTGGTCTTTTTTGATCGTATCGGTGATGCGGGGTGTCATGGCGATGGATGTTGTAATTCCACGTCTCTGGGCAACGCGTGACATGAGTTGATTGAAAGAAGAGGTTCTTGGTGAACAATGGGTAATGCTCATTATGTGGTCCTAGAAGGAAATATTCACAGCAGGAATATGACCTCCATATACCTAATTTAATTATAATAACAGCTCATTTGTCCATCTGTGTGCTATATCATACTGACGTGAATGTAGTATAATAATGTCACTACAACACAACATATACGTACCGGATTTTCCCTGGATGGTGGGGCTTTCCTATTTGAGCTGCCGCCGTTTTTATAAGGGTGCTCAGGCTCAGAGGCTCAGGCTCACTGAGTTACTCACTAAGTAGATGCCAGCACAGGCTCAGATCTGTGATCATGCTTATGCCAGTCACGTGTAAATGACTAATTCTATGCTTACCTAGTTTACGGGTGGGCCCTAGAATGCTCCCCGAATGAATCTGACCACTGATATCCACCTTCCTGCCTAAAATGGCTTGTATCACAATATTCTCCATTAATGGCTTGACGAAGCCTACCTTATTACAGGACCCTTACGACGACACACTCGATTTGAACCCGTGTGATGACTGGTCTACATCAAATGACCCGAAAGAACGACGGAGGCGACAAAATCGGCTGAACCAGAGAGCATATCGTAAGTCATTTATCCGTATTGGCAAGAGAGCTACAGACAGATTAGGCTAATAAGACCAGGAAAGCGAAAGCAATTACGAGAGCATGGCAAGTATGGTAGCCAGAACCATTACTGGCCTGACGCCATAGAAGAGCAGCCCGTAATCGCATCCCGCCCACCAAACCCCCCCTCTCAAAGCTCGATAAAGCAACCCGCCTGGCGTCTTCGCAAGGACGAAGCGCTCATATTTCTTGAGAATTTCAGCAAATCCGCCTACCAAAGCTACATCTTGAATACCCCGAGCACAGACCACCTCATAACGCTCCGTAAAGTGAACGTGTTCCGCGCGTTTGTTCATAATTTATCGGTCCTAGGGATAGCCGCAGAAAGAGGATGCATGCCATATGATTCTATATCGCAATTCAATACAGATGGGGCGAGTAAAATCGACCACACGAAGCTGCCAGTTGGTCTACAACCGACTCAGGTACAGCGCAAGATCCTACACCACCCATGGCTGGACTTTTTCCCATTCCCCGGCATGCGAGACAATCTCATAAGCGCGGGTGATTTCGATGAAGACCAGCTATGCGCTGATATCATGGGATTTTGGGACTTATCGGATGAGAGCTGTGGTCTCTTCGTATGGGGGGAGCCCTCGGATCCTAAAAGCTGGGAAGTTAGCGAGGCTTTTGTCAAGAAATGGCCATGGGCGGTGCGTGGTATTCCGGAGTTGATCAATTACACGAACCACTGGAGGAGGAAGCGGGGAGAGAAGATGATTTTCCGATATCTATAAATTAATTGCTGTGAATACATAGTGTTGGGTCAGGTGGGGCCGATGGACTCTCACTAGACCTAGTTCGCCTCTAGTGCCAGAAGGGATTTCACCGCGTCAACAACGGTCTCTTCAAGATTGCGATACTTGAGACCCAACACCTTCTGTGACTTGGACACATCGGTGGTAAACAGTTCAGAAATAACTTTTCCCGATCCGGGCGTCCCAGTTGGGACACGATCTTTGCCCTCGGGCAGTTCGGCACGCAAAATATCACAAACTTGGTCCTAGATTCGGTCAGCAAGCATGCTCCTCAAGTCAAGCGTGTTGTCATCACTTCCTCATTTGCCGCCATGATGGACATCACGAAAGGCAACTGGCCGGATCATGTTTACAGCGAAGCCGACTGGAACCCAATACCTTACGAGGTCGCCGCTGCAAGCGATGCTTATGGAGCAGTTTCTTACTCAACTGCCAAGGCGTTGGCTGAGCGCGCAGCATGGGATTTTGTCCAGGAGGTGAAGCCGCAGTTCGATATCGCCACTATCATGCCGCCGATGATCTATGGGCCGAACCTAAACGCCACCGTCGATCTGGCCAATTTGAATACTTCCTCTGCAGACATCTACCGCCTGATATCCCCGCAATCGAAGTCCAGCGACCTTGTCCCTGATATGTTCTGGAATTACGTGGATGTTCGTGATGTTGCTGAAGCCCATCTCCGTGCCTATGAAGTCCCTAAGGCTGGTGGAGAGCGATTCTTCATCTGCAACCCGGAAACCTTCACCTACATTGCACGTCCCATCAATCGCAGGGCGCAGAAGGTCGCGCTCGTTGTTCTCAACGAATAATTTGAAGGGAGTTTCCGTATGGATAACGCTGTGCACGCCTTGCACAGCTACACCGAAAGCGCCTATTTTACCTATGTCTTCGACAATGGCGAAGCTGAGCTGCGACTCAAACTGTGGGAAGGTCTTTCGGACCTTCTTAGCGATTGTATTAGACCGGACAGTACCTCGTACGGAGTATCCCGCTTGGAGAGACAAATTCACAATATGCGTGACCACAAAGCCAGAGGCACTAGTGATGAGAATGGTCTGATTTTCAGGATTGGTCGACATGATGAAAGACGGTTGTGGAAGGATGAAAGATTGAAAACGGCAGGAAGCAAAGTGTTATCAAGACTAATGGCTTTGCCTAATTCTGCTTTTTACCTTCAAGTATTTATATTCAAGAATTCAGTATGAGTGGAGATATGGCACTGTCGTCAAGTTCAAGGCCATTGTACTCCGTAAATCCCGACCTATCCGGACTTAAGAACACAAAAGGAAGTTTCCAGTCAGCTATTAGTCTCACCTTTAGCCACAAACAGATAGCAAGAACAAAATTGAATTGGCGGGATTAGCCGAAAACGTTTCCATGCTCCGAAGCCTAATGGTCCTATACAACATCTATGGATAAGCCCACCATGCCTAACTAGGCTAGCGTTATAAGCAGAATGGGGCCGCTCGGTGGATATATGATCAACCACGGAGAAAGTTTCATTGGTCATAAAATTCGAGCTAAAAAGTAGACTATTAATTTAGATCTCTAGGAGGCATATACGGACTCCGGAGTGCGGAGTGTTGAAATTGCAAAAAGTCTATCTCTTCCTTAGCTTATTTTGCCATCTACTTTCAAACGCATTTGCACGCGAGCTAAGCGCAATGGGGAATGCACCGCCAACCATCACCGAGAAGAATTGCCCTGATCAAACTGGCAAGGTGGGTTATCCTATGCAATCCGGGCGCCAATTGCTGGCTTATGGCGTGTATCAACGACATTTTCCAGCTATTTTATTTTTAAATAAACTAATTGAAAGGCTGTTGGACTCAAGGTCTTCATCCTGACCGGATCTAACACTGGTCTCGGCGCCCTCCTCGCCGAAATCCTCTACTCCCGCAATGCAAAGGTCTATGTCGCTGCACGGACGACCTCTAAAAGCCGAGGCGACAATCAAGGGCATCAAATCCCGCAACAGAAATTCCAAAGGCGATTTAGTCTTCCTGCGGCTTGATCTCGGCGACTTAACTACCATTTGAGCATCGGCCGTGGAGTTTCTCAGTAAGGAGTCGAGACTGGACGTTCTTTGGAACAATGCGGGAGTCATGACTCCACCAGCCTGAAGCAAATCCACGCAAGGATACGAGTTGCAGTTAGGCACGAACTGCGTCGGGTCATTCCTGTTCACAAAACTCCTGACTCCACTTTTGGTAGCCACTGCTAGCAAGGCGGAGAAGGGCTCAGTGCGTGTTGTGTGGCTTGCATCACAGGCGGAGAAGCTGTATGCGCCGAAAAATGGTATCGATATGTCGAACTTGGATTATCATACCCCAGTCAATGAGCGCATCACGTACGGAGCGAGCAAGGCCGGCAATATTCTTTATGCCAGCGAATATGCCAAGCGATTCGGCAACTCTGGCGTCGTCAGCGTGGTGAGTTTGAATCGATTACGAAACTCTTCTCCATTAGATGAGAGACCCCAAGGAATATTTTCGTGACTGTAGCTAACTCATGTTCTCTAGTCTGCCGATCCGGGGAATCTGAAAACGGATTTATACAGAAATGTCCCATGGTGGCAGATGTGGATAGCTAACATGATTCTCAAGGAACCGATTTTCGGTGCTTACACTGAGCTCTATGCGGGCCTGTCTTCTGATATCTCGTTGGCAAATAATGGTGCTTTTGGTACGTATACTACAGTTCGTTTCTAGTATATGTGTGTACCTTTAGCTAACTCTCAATTTGGTTGTAGTGGAGCCATGGGGGAAGATTGACAAGCCACGGAAGGACGTGGCCAGTTCTCTCAAAGGAAAATCCGAAGGTGGATCAGGAATAGCAGCCCAGTTCTGGGGCTGGACCGAGAATGAGGTTGCTTCCTTCTAGTGAAGCTCTGCTTCTTTTATGTCTCTTAGTTCTTATCGTTTGTTGTGTACGGGCTCATATTTGAATGCTATTTAATTTGCCTGGTCAGTAATGAGATGAACCAGCTGGGACAATCACAATCACAATCTAACCTACATATGAATGCAATCACGTACCACACCCGGTATCACAAATATTACAAAAGTAGAAGCAATTGTATAGAGAATTTCTCAGGTTCTATGACAATATCTTTATCATTTCACCTTGTATTGCGCCTTGGTGTTTAATAGTAGTTTACTCAGGCCGTTCTTCTCTACACTTAGTGAGTACTTAGTGAGTAAATCAGAGTGCTCGGTTTTACTCACTGACCAAAAAGCGGCTTCAGATGGGTACTAAAACGGAAAGGCAAGCACCTAGGCGAACCCGAAAGTTGTAGATAGATCTTACGTTTAATGGATGTAATAGGTGTCGTGTCACGTTTCCAGGAGCTCATATGATCTTGGCTGTTTATGATATCATATTTGATTCGAGTAGTTGCCTTACTTTGTATTTTAAAGTCTATAATTTGTAAGAGTCAAAAGGCGAAGGTGAATGTAGATGTGCCTCTATTATATATCTCGTGATTCCCCCAGCACTTATTGTACGCTTTGTCTACTAACTTTTTAAATCAATAATAGTTCTTACTTTAGTCAGTCTATGACTCTCTAGGATGGATGTCTTTAGTTCTAGCAGGCAGATGACTAGGTAAGCATGACCTTCAGGGCTGAACGTTCACTGACAATCCAAGGATGGATCATCTGACTGCTTATTAAGTAAAGTAAGTGACCTCGGGAGTATTCACCCTGTGCTGCCCGTAGATGAGATATTGGGCACCTTCACAAAGTGGCGGCATTCCGATCAGGCAAGTAATGAGCGCCGGCTAAAATCTGGTGTGTACTGCTAAATATGTAGTAGTTTCATGTCGAAAAGGAGAAAATTCTCAGACCTCAACACGGCACCATGGCACCAGATTCCCTAGCTTACATCTAATGCTAGCAGAGCTTCTTTGTACAGCTAGTTCGCATGTGTGAAAATGGACTGGTGGGCTAGTTGTATTGAGAGAATTAAAATCATATAGGTCAAATGTGAGCACGAAGTACATATATGCCCGCCTATGAACGGGAGGCCTACTACAAGCGTAGACTATGTTCTATAGTCCCAATGGAGCTAGTAGTGTAAGCAAATAACTATCCCGCTTATTGAAGGCACCTAGAACGGGACCCGTGCATGGAAGAATGCTCGAACCGACTACCTGGGCTCAGCGGCTACCATCGTCAGTCACCGGCTCTTGGGGGCGCCGAGTCTTAGGAGTACGAGAGGCGAAGAGGAAAAGCAAACATGAGTGGAAAAGCTAGTTGACTTTAGCAAGTCAATCTTTACGAGTAAATGAGATCCGTGGACTGGTGGGTTAACTTTATTCGGCAATGATGGACAAATATCCGATACTATGTGATCATGCACTTTGCCTTCATATGGACTATAAACGAGTCTCTAAGACAAGAGAGTTGTCACCTGTGGACTTGTATATAATCACTTGTGAAAATCAGGAACTCAGAGGTATTAGCAGGGCTATTCTATTAATTACTATTCAATACCAAACACCTTTGGTATTTAATCCAAAAATCAAAACCACTACGGAGTAGGTGGATATCAACTGAGAACAATAATCTAAATCCAACCACATCGCACCGTGCCTGCGCACAAACACCATTCACAATGGCGCCTAGACCACTAGTATCTGATGTCCGGTATGTATTCAGCATAGCCAACTTGCAAATCTAGCTCGACTTTAACACAGATTAATAAGGGACTAGGGCGTGGCATATGCCCGGTCGACTGGGAATCAATCAAAGACTGAGAGCAAAAAAAACCCCCTCTTACCCTTTAGTCATACAGCAGGATCGACACGAGCAATTTCTCTCAATGAGTATCAGCGCAGATCCCGAATTGGATGAGGGATGTGAAATTGGGAATAGGATTGCGCCTGGTGAGCAGAGTCCATACCCATCTTCGTGTGCTTTGATCGCTTTTGCGGTGCAGGTGGCGCTCGGGGACTGTAGGTACATGCGTCTTGGAGAAAATCAAATAATGATTTGAACCTGGATGTGAAACGTAACAAAATAAAGACAGCATATCATGCAGAATAAGATTATTGTTGTATTGAAACGGTCGAGGTATAGCCAACCACCCTGGCAATTGCCCATGATGCTCCTGCCTCTTGGTCTTTTATAGGATTAGCTCGGTTTGGAATCGCATGCTCCGGCGCCGGAAATGGCTGCAGAGCGTGTTGTCTCGGATGTTTAGGCCGAACTTCCACTGCGCGGGGCAAACTGTATCACAATTGTAATGGTAATTGGCATTCTTGCGCGCTCTACCCCTGTACTATAAGATGACCATTATGGCTTAGAATGCGGCATATAACCATTGCTCAGACATCTCTCACATGCGACAACAAGGGTGGCTGCTCCAATCCACTCCGCTATGTCCTGAGGTGAGGATGAGTATATCAATGTACCTCCCATGAACAGACTAGTATACTATTAGATTGAGTAGCGTCTGGGGTAAGTGGACTACGAAGTATGCTCATTAAACCCCCGCGATCATCCTTGTCTAGTCTGTTTAGCCCCTTTTTTCACCAGTCGATCGAGTGATCCCCCGCACCGTAAGTTGTGGGGATTGTTTGAGCAGAGAATCGCGTCTCATCTCTGGATATGTCTGATCCTCGTGCATACTCATAAGTGTTATCATGGAATATGTTAATGCAGATAATATACAAAATAAGTCAGCAAATTACCAATCATACGGACAGGAAAACATGATTGTGTGCCAATAAGAGTATTAGTCCGGATATAATAAAGTGCCAAGATGATATCCCTACTATGTTGTATGTACAAAGTAATGAAAAACTTGTTGCTTATACCAAAAAGGAAAGAAGGCTAATTAGGGGCCAGACCCCTATATGACGTCGAGTATAGCGCACTGATTCATTGACGCACGGACCGCAGATTTTAGTATTTTCCAAGGTTCCTCCCCTAAAGAGCTTCATGCAGGACGCTTCCCGGGAGACTGGGGGTATTCTGTATTCTGTATTGTAGTAATTTTATATCCATATATTTCTCTCTCTATGTTTGTATACACATAGTATATAGATATATATATGTGTGTGTGTGTACAATATAAAGTCGGAGTGTACGGAGAATCTAAGCCGAAAAGAGCGGAAGGTCCATCCATGGACACAGTTTTGCCTTTTTCTACCGTCAACTGGTTGGGATGAACGACCAAAAAAAAAACAGGAAAAGGTATACGTAGTACTGGAAAAAAACCCCCTACAGTTTCCGGTATTGGGGCCAGCAGTTCGGGCAGAAGTTTGAAGGTGCCGAGCTGAGTGCAATGCGATTGGAGGCAAAATAGTATATAGCCAGGGCCGGAGTAACCTACATACATGGATACATACACACGAAGAACCTCAGTGTCTTCGGAGCCGAGGACATCGGGTCCCAAGAAAATAAGAAGCATCATACGTTGGGCAACCATGGCCGGCCATTTTCTTGGGCATTCTCACGATGACTTCTAGTTTAGGCCTATTGCCTATGTTGTATATGCAATCTGTCATCCATGGGAGTCAATTCCTTGTTGTCCACGGGAAAGTCCTCGACGTAAAGACCCCAGTGGCAAATCCGCCACTGGAAAGAACATAACCAACTACAACATATATACATAGATGTATAATCTAGTATATCTAGTATATTTAGTATAAAATAGCAAGTACTAGTCTATAGGGGTAATATCTAACTACATAATACAGATGTTAGATTAATCTGCAAACAGCCCGGAATTCCAGAGCTGACAGCCCCACTGGATATTAAAACCTGAAATTTGATATCAATAATAACAATTTCCAAAGTAAATTAATTAAACACTTATAGCTCATCCCAATTTTTTTTTTCTCTTAACTTATTTTTAATCTGCCATTTGGGCTTGTCAATGGTAAAATTGTTTGGCTTGGCATCCCGATCATCGCTCTGCCCTATTACCCACCCAACCTCCCCCCCTTCGACTCTCTTCAACTCTCCCCTCTTGTCTTGGTCTCTCCATCTTTTTCTCCATCCCTTTTTTTGTAATTCTTACAGCTACTTGGCTGTCTTGCCTTTCCTTTTCACATTTACTTTCGGATCTCTTATACTTGATTGATTCCGATCTCGCTGCTCTCCACCCCACCTCCATCCCCGAGAATTGGCCATCCGAATGAGCCTAACCCCAAATTATTTATAGCATCTGCTGCAACGGCACTCCTTTTTTTGACTCAAATCCCCACGTGTGGATGTGGGATCGTCCACATCCTCGTGCAGTAGCAGGTCTACCTCGTGTCCTTCCCCCCTAAGGCGACAACCCGCTGTCCGGTACACGGTTTCCGTTGCTCAGTTGTCGCCATCCCTATTGATCTCCCGAAAGTAATGCCGACCTGTTCGTCCGTGCCAACAGAGCTTCTTGTCAGCTCACCTTGAACCAATTATTACGGAAACCCCCTCCCAAAAAAATAAAGAATCGAATCGGAGGATGTTCAACTAGGATGCTCAACTGCACCCTCGGCACAGCTGCTTCGGCCCCCTCCCTTTGAAATAATATCACCAAAGAAGGAAGACGGGAATATGACAGAAATTCGGTCCTCGCAAGCTGGTCTGGAGGATCCGGATCAGCTGGCTCGGAATGGTCATGTCTCAAAAAATCACAAGCGGAATATCAGCCGGTCCGACGAGTCATCGCAACTACCATCTGCGTCGAACGAACCCGAGTCTCGTCCTCCATCCAAATCATCCGCGGAACAGCCCATTATCACCGATGTGTCGGAAGCCGCTGCGACTTTCCGCCAGGCCTTTCCCGGCCTTTACGGTGCCCGGACCCCCTCGAATCGCTCATCATCGAGCTCCCTACAAGCCCTCAACGAAGGTATCGTGGTCGATGTCCGATCGGAAAGTGGAAGCATTGGAAGGAGCACTCAGCGCACCTCGAGACACTCGGATCATCAATTACCAGTTTACCCCGATCAATCCTATGCCTCCCTCCAGTCCCAGGTACATCCCACCTGGCAACCACCCCACCTCATAGACCCAGATCCGCTACCCAGACATTCCTATGCCCGGGGTATTCGTACTGCGGGCAACACCCCGCTATCGAGCCCGGGGCTCTTCTCCATGAGACACTCTCGCATGGGAACGCCAACCGCGTCGGACGATGACATCTCGATGGGAAGTTCACTTCTCCATCCATCACATCTTCAACCACCGAAAGAAACACACACCGCCGAAGTTGATCGCGACATGATCACGGGAAACAAAACCATCAACCAGTATGAGATCCTCGAAGAGCTTGGGCGGGGTGAACATGGCAAAGTGAAATTAGGCCAGCACGTTGCGACTAAGCAGAAAGTTGCCATCAAGATCGTCCAGCGGTACTCCACTCGCCGTCGGTTAGGCAAGTTGGGTAATCCAGAAGACAAAGTGAAGAAGGAGGTGGCTATTCTGAAGAAGGCCCGGCATCCAAACGTGGTCAGCCTGCTCGAAGTCATCGACGACCCGAATCGACAAAAGGTGTACATCGTGCTAGAGTATGTTGAAAATGGCGAGATTGTCTGGCGCAAGAAGGGTCTACGAGAAATTGTCCACGTCGACAAGCTACGTCTTGAGCGAGAAAAGAATGGAATCCCAGACACCCCCGCGTTTCTGGAAGAGAGCCACCAATTTATTCGAACTGCCCAGCATCTGCGGCGGCAACGGGAAAGGGCTCGCGAGCGGATTGAAGCACAGGCTGCCGATGCCCAGCAAGGGCCGATCCCCGCTTGGAGTCTGGAGCACGGTGCAGAATCTTCAGAGGAGGAGGATGACGAGGGTGGTCTTCCCATCAGGAGATCATCTAGTCGTTCTGTTGCAGTAACAGATGACTCAAGCCCATCCTTCACCCAGGACCCGTGTCTAAATGCCGTCGAGGGCAGCATGTACGGTGCCTATTCAGATTACCCATTCGAACGACGTTCCAGCACAACCTCTAGTAGCTTTGGGTACGCCCCCTCTGAACCCGAGTGGTCTGCAGAGGGCGATGACATGGCATTCGTTCCTTGTTTAACTATCGCTGAAACCCGCAGCGCATTCCGGGACTCGGTTCTTGGCTTAGAGTACCTCCACTACCAGGGTATTATCCACCGAGATATTAAGCCGGCTAATCTACTCGTCACCAGCACTCATCGGGTGAAGATCTCTGATTTCGGCGTTTCTTATCTGGGACGCCCAATGCGGGACGAGGAAGAAGAACAGGTGGGCGAGACTGATGCGACGGAGTTGGACGATGCTCGTGAATTGTCCAAGACTGTTGGTACTCCGGCTTTCTATGCCCCCGAATTATGTTATACCGGCGATGACTTTGTGGAAACTATTGGGTCAATCCCCAAGATTACTGGTGCGGTCGACGTTTGGTCGCTCGGCGTCACATTGTATGGAATGATCTTTGGTCGCCTACCGTTTGTTTCGGATGATGGGTACAGCATGTTCCAGACCATTGTGAAGAAGGAAGTCTTCATTCCACGGAAGCGCCTCGTGCCCGTGATGGATGAGGCGTCTGACTCCAATCAGTGGAACCTGAGAAATGATGATGAGCTCGTCTATGAGGATATTGACGATGAGCTATACGATCTGCTCAGGCGTCTATTAACCAAAGACCCGATCAAGAGAATCACCTTGAAAGAGATTAAACACCACCCTTGGACACTTCATGGTCTTCCCAACCCTCGAATCTGGATCGAGGAGACCGACCCTGGCTACCAAAGCAAGGGTAAGCGAATTGAGGTCTCGAATGAAGAAGTTACAAGCGCCGTCAGCAAAGTTCCATTCATTCAACGGGTTCGGTCTAATGTTGCCAAATGGTTCGGCAGCGGTCGGTCAAAGGACAAGGAATCCCGGAAGCGCACATCGAGCACGACACCGTCTACCGAGACCCTGTCCTCTGCCGCAAGTAACAGCACATTCGGGAAAACCTCCCGCGACTCTCGTCGGTCCAGTTTGCGAGGGGACGAGGAATTATTCCGACCGCTCAAATTTGGAAATCAAGGACACCCGCTCGCCCAGAGCGTTACTGCAAGCCCAGTGGATGAAGGCGATTGGGCATCTTATTTCGATGCCGTGCAACCAGCTGCAGCAAAGCTTGCTGCTGCGACTAAGGTTGCCACTCCACCTCCTATCGTGACACCCCGACCTGGTCCTCCTCGTCGCGCAAAGTCCTCAATGTCCACATCAGAATCTGCAAAGACGGTTAAGCCATCCAGTTTTGATACCCCATTGACTGTTCGGCCATTTTCCATCATCGAGGCCCTAGGACCGACCAACCTTGGTAGTCTTTTTAGTGGAGCTACTCGACGGGCATCACGAGGTAGTCGCAGTCGGCGCACTTCTCCCTCTGGCGAGACAAGATCTCTACATGGGGATGGAGAACGTCCCTCAGCTGGGCCTAGCATCGCTGTCAGCAATGCATCTGCCCACGGCCAAGTGCGCACCCCCGGGCTGTGGCATGAGGAGGAACACCCTTCTGCCGAGCCAGTGGCCCCTAGTCACGCAAACCGGTGTATACGACCTCCGCAGCTCGAGGATACATCACCTGCAGAATCTCTTAGCCTCACAAGGGATGCACTCTTGCGCCGCAGACGGAGCGACATCGAGGCAAGTGAGGGCGGTACCTTGAGAGTTGACTATGCGATGTATTCTACTGAATCGCTCCTCCTGCCGCCCATAAATCCACCTACCAACCAAGGATGCCCCGACAACACCAACAATGGGCTGGCCGCTTCCACCTCAGCCACTATCTCTTCCTCTTCTGCCGACGACTTCACCAGCGGCATGTCCCAGAGTGCCTCTCACCCTAGCATTCCGTCGGTCGTCTCAAACGCATCGTCTCTCTCTGGTGATGGTTACTCGGTCAAGGGAGGTGACTTGGACGAAGTACCCTCGATGCTCCGAACTGGAGAGACACTCAAACCCCCTCGTCCGAACTCGCCCCGGTCGTCCGAAGAGGATGAATCGAGGTACTACTGCGATGACGAGGACGAGGATGAGTCGGAAGATGAAGGCCTTGTGATTGGGAAACGCAAGCCGCCTCCCAAGGCTGCTGCATCGGATATTCCGTCCTAGGTATCGAACTGAAATGCGGCCGGTCCCGATCAGTCTAGTCCAGTCCACACATTTGATCCGGCTACCACACCACCTTTACAACACTCATAGTATCTACCAACGCTTTCTCCATCCTCGACGCTTCCTACCTATAACTAGTGAAGTTGTTGTATATCACCGAATTTCGTTTTGATTCTCTTTCCATTCCGGTTCCCAGCCGCCTGCTATGTGGAAATTGTTCCTAGAAATTGTTCCATACATTCTACATGGTCTGTACATATACACGAACTCGCATGAGCATCCATCGGTGCCTCCTTGCGAAGAAGTCCCCGGTGCCTCCGACCGACCCCGTCTGCATATCTGTTTCTGTTCTGTTCTGTTGAGTTCAGTGTCTGTGACTATGAATATGGAGGGCAGATAATCCCGCAGTGCATTTCAGGGGTTTCTATTTTTCTTCTTCTTTTTGTTCCTCTCTCTTCGTCTTATGCATGGATGAGGGGCCAGATCGCTTTTTTTTTTTTAAACTGTATGTAATGTTGACTTTGTCAAAACTGGAAGGTTGGGTTTTGGGGCCATATTTTGGATCCCTTGATCTTCGAGGACCTACAGAGTATGTGTCTCTTGGGGAATCTGGGCAATTGCGACATGACTGATATATGATGCTGGGAGGCGAGACGTCTAGCGTGTGATGAAGAAATGAAATATTTTGGGGTTTGGGGACTTCTCATTCTATCCCTCCCCCTGAGATCAACCTGTTTCTCATACGTTATAGAAAACTCTAAGTGTAGAATAGTGTTTCGTCATAGAGGGGATAATTCTATCAATTCCTCCAGTGGGAGTTCCCCGTGGGATTATATGCCCCTAGTCTCACTTTGAAATCCCAACTATGTACTTCTACCAATAACAATATGAAAGGACCGCTGACTTTACCACAGCATTTTGCTCTTCGAAAGCCAAAGTATGCATAAAGATTGCACTACTTAAGTATTCTGGTGTTTCACCATCTGTTTCGCCGCGGAGACTAGGCCAAAAGAGGGCTTGCACCGTTCAGTTCGGACTTTTCTCCTTTGAGTCAGGTACAAGATGTTAAGGGGGGAAATGTTCGGAAAAATTTGAAGTTCTAGGTTATGCAAAGTATATAAGAAAGCAGATAGAATGAAAGCAACCCAGTCTCTACAATTTAACAGCTTCCCTCTGCTTCACATAGCCATCGACGTGGATTGACTTCGTTCAGTTCCAAGAAGTGGTTGCCCATCATGCTTCCCTACCTCTTTCTAGCTGCCGCTCAGCTTTTCGCCTCAACATCCGCCGCAATAACCTACAAAGGCGTGGATATCTCTTCCCTCCTCATCGAGGAAGGTAAAGGCATTTCTTACAAGAACCTCGCTGGTACACCGGAAAAGCTGGAAACCATCCTCTCAGCCAGCGGCATCAACTCTGTTCGCCAGCGTGTCTGGGTGAATCCCAGTGATGGATCATACGACCTGGACTATAACGTTAAGCTCGCAAAGAGAGTACAGGCGCAGGGCATGACCACGTTTCTCGACCTGCATTACAGTGATACATGGGCGGATCCAAGTGCACAGGTACGAATATAAAAACATGCCTCACTCGAATTGCTTGATCCAATGACTAACCTACTCGCTTCTTTAGAGCGCTCCCTCGGCCTGGTCCAAAACGGACATCGGAGTCTTGGCTGGACAAGTGTACGACTATACCCTGAAGGTATGCAACACGTTTGCGGACAACAAGCTCGATATAGAGATTGTCTCCATCGGCAACGAAATTCGGAGCGGCCTGGCATGGCCCCTGGGCGGAACAAGCAGCTACAGCAACATTGCACGGATCCTGCACTCCGCCGCATGGGGTGTGAAGGACTCCAAGCTGGCAACCACTCCCAAGATCTTGATCCACCTCGACAACGGCTGGGACTGGGGGGCTCAGTCGTGGTTCTATAAGCAAGTTCTGGCATCCGGGTCTGCGCTCCTCTCCACGGACTTCGACTACATCGGCGTCTCTTATTACCCCTTCTTCTCTGCGGATGCGACGCTCGCTTCACTGAAGACGAGTCTTGCGAATCTGCACTCGACGTACAATAAGGAGACGCTGGTTGTTGAGACGAACTGGCCGGTTACTTGTCCTAATCCCGCTACTGCATTCCCGTCGGATCTCAAGGATATTCCCTTTTCGGTTGCTGGGCAGCAGACTTTTCTTAACAGGCTTGGTGATGCTGTCAAGTCTGTTGGTGGATTGGGCATTTATTACTGGGAACCTGCTTGGGTTGATAATGCGGGACTTGGAAGCAGTTGTGATGATAACTTGTTCTTTTCTTGGTCGAATGATCAGGCCAGGGCTAGTCTGAATACATTGGGTAGTCTGTGAGAGTTTCGTATACCAATATCTCACTCCAGTGATGAAGTATACACGGCTTACAGGGCTTACAGGGCTTCGCACTGTCACCTGATTTGATGGTTTGAATCAGATACTGGCTGTGCAAGGTCTAATAAAGTTAGGCAACAATCAGGCAAACATCTCGAAGTACAAATTATAGACAAGGCAGACTGTTGAAGTGTGCCTTGGCCAATAGCTTATATCCTTTATACCCAAATAGGACTAGCTCCCATGGGCCTCAGCTGGGTGGCTGTGCAAAAGCTAAGGCCAAGTTCTCTTTAGCGTTGAACCCCTCCACTTTGGGAGATAAAGTGCTTCACGGCCTAACATCTGTATATTCAACAGGCAGCGCTTTTCCTCTTCAATTGAATCTCTAAGAATGTGCATATGTATATATAAAAATAGTCTGTGTTCGCCTATCTGTTATCAGAGTGGACACTGATAATGCCAATGTGGGGAGAGACCCATTTGGGGTTCTTTTGCAGGAACTTGTACGGAGTAATTAGAAGCAGGTGGGAACTCTTTCTCTTGTCTCTTTACGCTTAGGGCACCCACAGGAGAATATTATGGGAATATTATTATATTAAAATAATAATCCCCATACCTCCAAAGTCAACTTCGTATGGACAACACACGGCTTGCTATACACAGACGTGTTTGACCTAGACCGCCTTGCGCACGTGAAACGCCTCACATTCAACTCCTCCCTCATTTACTCTCTCATTGCGGCCCTCTTGACAAATTCAAGGTATCATTGCTCTCAGGGATGACGAGGTAGTCTGGCGATCGCTGACAACTAGCTCAGAGGCTCTCATTCGCGTACCGGACCCGATCCTGGACCCTTGCGAATGACATCCCACCATATCGTCAGACACCATTCTCCCTGCTTCACCAGGCGGCCACGACCCTGACAGATTTACTCATCTAATCTACCCCTGTCGCCGAATCTCTGCGCTATATTCGATCCCTACTCCGCCCCTTGTCCCCGATCACAGCTCCAGCTTGGTGCTTGTGAAAGAGCCCTCACCCGCGCGCATTCGCAAATATGGCCTCGCATGACCAGAACCACGGCACGGTCTATTGCCCGGGGGATATCAAGAATCGGAGCGTGAGCCCTTCGCCGCACGGCCAACAATATCACGACCCCAACTCAGGTGGATTAGGAGTTGACCCCTCCATGGCAGCTTATTCGACAAACCCCTCCTTTCACAACCCCGACGGTAGCATCGGTGGCGCTGAAGCATATGGGTACCCAAACTACCTTGCTGGGGCGCCCTCGACACAGACATTATCACCGACGGAGCAGAGCTATGGTCCAACTATCAATACCAACAACCTCCCGATATCGCAGTCCTTTGAGACAAGCCTGGTCAATCAGCTCGAGCACTCTTCGACGGGACTCAGATCAATGCAGGGCGACGAAAACTTCTCCAATATGCTCAACTCCAATCACCCAGAATTAGACTTTTCTCTCTACCAGAATCACAGCCCCAACAGTACTTCTACCCCCGAGTATGATTCTTCGTTGTTGCTGGACCCGCAAAGGCACCAACGCCAGTCAATCAACCAAGCGATCAACCCCGCTGATCTGGTCGGCCCCATCTCTAACACCTCAGTATCCTCGCATCCATCATCGCAAGATCAGCAGCATTCCTCGCCTGGCCCCATGTCCCCTCCAGGGTCCACACCGGGTGCATACTATACCCCTCGGCATTCACGACACACTTCCCTTGACCCGGCTACTGCGGCGTATTTGTCCGCCCAGTCAGGTCCGGACTGGCAGTCGGTTATGAATAACGTTTCCTTCCAGGGCCATCGCCGTGCACCGTCTGAAGTATCCGAGGTATCGTCGGCCAACCACTCCCCCTACCTGTCTCAGCACGAATTCGATGGCATTGAGAACAATGCGTCACCTTCTTTGGCTCCCCAAAGTGATCCAAGTCTTTACGACAATGGCCTAGGCATGGAATCATTCACGTTGTCAGAGCAGCATCAGCAGGGGATCAGTCCCCTCCACAGCCCGTATATTTCTCCGCGGTTGATGCCACAGCAGGGGGTTGAGATGGTGCCGAATAATTCGTATCTCACTCAATTCCCCTCGGCACCCACAGACATGTACGGAATACCCCAAGAGGACACGATGAACATGGGACAATTGAACAATATTCCGGGTGACATTGGTCAAGCTTCACAGATGGCTCCCCCATCGATTAACGTTGAGTTTGCACCGCCATTGCGGAGTCCAAACTTCGATCCCTCCAAATCAACGGCAGATTTCGACTCATTGAGCCCTCCCGCTATGCGTAAGTGCTAATTTACAACCTGTTTGATTGATACAATGCTAACCAGAACTTAGGATCCCGTGTTCGTAGTAAATCCGACCCTTATCACCCTTCTTCCCGCCCACGCTCTCCTGCAACTTCAGCAACAAGTCTGGAGCCCCGCGCGCCTGTCACCCCACGATCCTTGTCGCCTGTTGGATCGGTTGGCTCTCACTCGCGTAGTAGCCCTAGTTCGCGAGATCCCTCGCCCTCACGGTCAAACCGACGTCTCTCCACCTCATCAATCGAGAACCGGAACTACATCCTAGACCTTGCCGACCCCCAAAGACCCGGAGCAGCACCCGGGGAGCCAAAACGAATCCAGAAACATCCGGCTACCTTCCAGTGCAACCTATGTCCGAAAAGGTTTACCCGCGCATACAATCTGCGATCCCACCTCCGCACCCACACCGACGAACGACCGTTCGTGTGCACAGTGTGCGGCAAAGCATTTGCACGGCAGCACGACCGCAAACGCCACGAAGGCCTCCATTCCGGTGAAAAGAAGTTCGTCTGCCGCGGCGAGCTCTCGCGAAGCGGACAATGGGGCTGCGGCCGCCGCTTCGCTCGTGCAGACGCTCTGGGCCGCCACTTCCGCTCCGAGGCAGGCCGGGTATGCATCAAGCCTCTCCTCGACGAGGAGTCGCAAGAGCGTGACCGCGTCTTGCTAGAGCACCAACAACAGCAACAACAATCACCAACTAGTCATCTCCAGCCAATTCCCCAGCCGCTCGTTATGCCCAACATGCCTGGCATGGATGGGCAATCGACGGGCAACTTTATTCTTCCCGCTGCTCTTCTGGCGCAATATCCAGCTCTGCAGACATTGCAGTGGGACCAGATTTCGGCCGTGGGTGATGACCCGGGTGAGATTGGTGGGCGGAGTAGCTTTGATGCTAGCTCTGGTGGGGAGTTCGGCTTTGATGAGGATGATTCTGGGATGGGTGGTGGCTATGGTAATAACCAGGGAAGTATGTACGGTGTCAATAACTCTGGTCAGATGATGGGAGTCAATCCTGGAGACCCTGGGTACTCTGATCAGAAGTGGACTGGATGACACTGGTAGACTTTGCTTCCTCTGTTCCCTGCCTCTTTTTTTTCTTTCTTCTTCCTCTCCCTGTTTCAGGTTTCAAAAAGGATATTGCATGATGCATTACATCTGCATAAAGCCCATTCTTTGGTTTTCAATTCTGCCTATATAGAAAGGCTTGTTGGCGTTCAGATACAGGATGCTCCCGGGGATATCTGCGGATCTCTGAAGCTGGCAATCAGGCGATATGATTGTCTTGGTGTTTAATTGTTCTTTTTCTGGTCTTTTTAGACATCGGTGTTTATTATGCCGTTGTTTCGGTTATTTTTGTTTCATTCTCATTCTCTTGGGCTCTCAACTTCCCCTTCAAGGTGGTTACTGTTCTACTCATTCCATTACTTATGAAAGAACCAGGCATTATGATGCTTTTTTTATGATATTCCCATGTTTATTCCATGCCCATCTACTTTTCTACATTTCTATATCTTCTTCTATCGTGACTTTGTCTTGTTTGATATAACAGCTTCAAAGCTATATACCATGACATACAATGAATGGATTGCGCTCCATCAGATGACCTGGCCCTCTTACCCTATTACTTATTTATTACTATAGTTATCGATTTCATCTTGCACCACTTACACTCTAATAAATCAAGAAACAGTAGAATACAGATCACATTGGATATCATCTAGTCGGCAAAACAAATCTAAAACTACCAAAATTCACCATATACAAGGTGAGGGACTACTATAATGCAATCCAACCAAATCATCAACTCCAGATCGAACCCAACAACCTATTTTTATGGTGTCAAACCAGTCTGAAATCCACCTCCACCTGCTCCTCTCCCTTTAAGAGGAAGCCTTCTTGGCCAACAAGTTCAAAGCACTACCAGCAAGGATGAATGCACACTGGTCCTTACTGAAAGTGTGCTGAACAGGAACATCAAACACCTCCCCAGTCTTCTGCTTAGTAACACGCAGCTTGATGTCACCCTGTCCACCAGCCTGCAGCACATCGTAAAGACCAACAGTATCAACCTTATCACAAGCATCGATACGATCGTAGTCCTCACGGTTCGCAAATGTAAGAGGCACAACACCCTGCTTCTTAAGGTTCGTCTCGTGAATACGGGCAAAGCTCTTAGAGACAATGACCCGGCCGCCGAGGTAGCGAGGCTGCAGCGCAGCGTGCTCACGTGCAGAGCCCTCGCCGTAGTTATCCTCCGCAACAACAAGCCAGGAGATTCCGCGCTCCTTCCAGGCCTCTGCTAGCTCGGGGATTCCGTACTGCTTGCCGGCCTCATCGTAGGCGACGTTCGTCTCGCCGGTTGCGGCGTTGACGGCACCGATCAGAGTGTTGGCGGAGATGTTGGGCAGGTGGCCCTTGTACTTGAGCCACGGGCCTGCGGCGGAGATTGTGTCGGTCGTGCACTGGCCCTTGACCTTGTACAGGACCTGGAGACCAGAGAGATCGCCCTCGGGGAAGGGGGCGAATGGCTCGAGGAGGGCGAGGCGGTCAGAGGTCGGCGAGACAATGACTTCGCTGCTTGCGTCTGGGACTGCGGCTGTGGGCAGGAAGTTGGGGTTACCTTCTTCGAAACCGGCGCTGGGGAGATCGAAGCCGCTGGGGGGCTGGAACTTGAAGGTTGAGCCGTCCGGTGCGGTCAGGGAGTCGGTCATGGGATTGAAGGTTGTGCTGCCGGAGTAGGCGAGCGCGGTGACGAGTTCCGGTGAGGCGAGGAAGTTCATTGTTTGCCGGTTGCCGTCGTTGCGGCCGGGGAAGTTACGGTTGTAGGAGGTGAAGATGGCGTTGTCTTCGCCCTTGGGGACGCCGTCGGTGCGCTTCCATTGGCCGATACAGGGGCCGCAAGCGTTGGCGAGGACAATACCGCCGGCCTCGGAGAAGGTGTTTAGTGTTTGATCGCGGTCGAGAGTTGCGCGGATCTGTTCACTGCCAGGAGTGATGAAGAAATCCGCCTTGGGCTTGAGACCTGCTGCGGTGGCCTGCTTGACGAGATCCTCGGCGCGGGTCATATCTTCGTACGAGGAGTTGGTGCAGCTACCGATGAGGCCGGCGCCGAAGGTCTCGGGCCACTTCTTCTCGCGGACGGTGTCGGCGAACTTGGACAGTGGCACCGAGAAGTCGGGAGTGAAGGGTCCGTTGATGTGCGGCTCGAGCTCGGACAGGTTGATGGTGACCAGCTGGTCATACTCGGCCTTGGTGTCAGCGCGCAGCAAGCTCGAAGGGCCAGCAGCGGCAACCTCAGCAGCGGCCTCGGCGACGTGGCCGCGGTGGGTCGACTGCAGGTAGGGAACCATGCTAGGCGAGAAGGGGAAGACCGAGGTGGTGGCACCCACCTCAGCACCCATGTTACAGCAAGTAGCCATACCCGTGCAGCTCAGAGTCTCGACACCAGGGCCGTGGTACTCAAGGATATAGCCAGTGCCACCGCGGACAGTCAGCTTACCAGCCAGGGATAGGATGATATCCTTAGGCGAAGCCCATCCGCTGAGCTTGCCCTCAAGGCGAACACCGAGAATCTTAGGAGCCTTCAGCTCCCAAGGAGCATCGACGAGCGCATCGACAGCATCGGCACCGCCGACACCGATGGCAATAGCACCAAGACCACCTCCGTTGGGAGTGTGGCTGTCTGTACCGAGCATCATCAATCCAGGGGCGGCGTAGTTCTCCAGCACGCTCTGGTGGATGATACCGGCACCCGGGGGCCAGAACTCAATACCGTAACGCTTGGCGGCACTCTCAAGGAAGTCGAACACCTCACTGTTCCCCTTGATTGAAGCTGGCAGATCGGTATCGGCACCGCGCTCACCGACGATCATGTGGTCGCAGTGGATACTGGCTGGGACGGCGGTGGAGGGAAGACCGCAGGACATGAATTGGAGTAGAGCCATCTGGGCTGAAGCATCCTGCATGGCGACACGGTCGGGCTTCAGCTTCAGGTTGGCCTTGCCTCGAATGTCACGGCCATTGTTGGTTCCGGTGAGCAATGACTCTTCGGCATTGTCCAGATGCGCGTAAAGGATTTTCTCAGCGAGGGTGAGGGCGCGGTCGGAGCCAAGGACTCGGCGGACTTGTTCAAGGTTGCGGACGAGCTTGGGATATGGGGGCATACGGGAGGAGGAGGCCTCGGTGGCTAGGCCACGGGCGAAGAGCCGTTGTGAGGAGAGGCGTGTGGCCATCTATATGAAGTATTAGTTTGGCCAATTGAGTTATCTTCAATGTTTACTTACGCCACGAGAGGCAGAAACCCGCTGCCAAACAAGCTGGCTCACCATCTTCACTTATGTCAAGTTTGGGGAGAAACTGGGGTGGGAGAAGATGATGTTCCCTTTTTTTTCCTCCGGTTATACGTTATTTGTATTGGCTCTGATTGGTTAGGGGTTGCGCCGATTTCGGAATCCAGACCTCGATTATGTGGGGAAATAGCTTTGTATAACTACAAACTTCAACCTCTCAATAACGAATCTTTGCATCCGCGACAATGCTGCGATAATGGTGGTTTCTGATTCCATGTCTCTTCGACACTAGACCAGCAGATAATATCCGAGTATATATGCCCCAATCTCAATTCTTGGTGTATAATGTGACCTATTATGCCTTTTCTTCGTCATCTATACCCGCCTAACCTCCACTGAATCCCGGAAGAATACACCAGAACTATGATTTATTAGCAACTTCGATGCGGAAGTCACGCGAACTGGCGTTTAAAAATTTCACAATATTCAGAAGCAATGCCTGGGAATCAGCGGTGATGGGGTCTTGGGGATCAACGCCATCAATCTCAATCAAAAGAGCAGCAATATCCCATGCCAATTTTCCCGGAATTCCTGGCAATTCAAATGTCGAAGATGGGCGGATATCCCGCTGAGAAGAGCTGTCGTTACTTTTAGACCGTGAAGGGCAGTAAACAAGATTAGTTACAGCTGAGACAGGACCTGAAAATAAAGGGCTAGTCACGTGGAATGTGGATCACTTTTATTGACCATGTTGTACTTTGTACTGTATAGGTGATGCTTAGCCCTAGCAACTAAAAATGGATGCTAACCGGAAGCTCGCCGAGAGATTTATGCCAATTCTCGACCCCGTACACCGGAAGCCTGTCGATCTCTGGGTCTAGTACGGAGTAAGTAGTGTTTCAAGACAAACTAGCATCCTGATCTCAATCAAGTATGGAGTATACTTAAACAGACTGGAAAATTCTCGGGAACTTGTGATATAGGAAGCAACTTATTCCTGTACGGAGTATCATTGCGACAATAGTCCTATTAAAGACAGCACGGGAATGATCTGCAGGGCTATTAAGTGGTGTTGCATGTATATTTACAGTTTTCGGGGTTACCCTATGTCGTTAGGGAATACTATAGCGGAAATGCTACTAGATGAGATCAAGATGGTATAAAAAAACTTTACATACTACAAGGGACGCTGATCCGTAGAATTATGCTAGGACATGTATAAGAGGAAACTCGATCATACAGCTACTATGCATGTCGTCACCGAACTTGTAAAATATGTAAGATTTCATTATTGTCTCTTCTTTGAGAAGAAAAAGAACGGTACTATCTAATATGTTTAGGGCTAAAAGCTTATTTCCAACATATGACGGACAGAATACGCCCTGCCTAGTTCAACATTACGCCTTTTCTTAGTTTTAGCATCGTTCAGTTTTTTGCTACTCATTATAAGTGGCAGGCTCAATTTTATCCAGCTTTCAAAGTCGCGCAAGAAGGACACAGCCACTAAGACCCAGGAAAGCGAGACGTATGCCTCTAAAAACCTTCCGACTTATGAAGAGATCCCAAAGTCTTCTAAGAAAACCTTGATGGATAAATTGGAGGATAAGATAAAAGATGCCCAGAAGCCTGAAGATCTTCTTATCCACCTACTCTCCACCGAATTGAGTATTACAGAGAAAGCAGCTCTCTTAGAACACGCCCCGAGTCATATATATGACTATGATCGCCACTACAAAAATGCCGAGAAGGTTGAAGCTCAACTCAAAGACGCAGGCAGGCTACGGTGAGCTTTCCATAGTCCTATACTGGCCTTTTTTTTGGTATAGGGAACAACCGGATGGATCAGGAAGTTGGATCAAGAAACTGATTGAAATTGACATCGAGAAGCGTTGGATTGCTCAACGAAAGGCCTGTATTCAACAAAAGATTCAAATCTTGCAAATCTCATCAGAGAGACCTCTATCTTCCGGAGATGAAGCAGAACATGCATGGCAAGTCAATATTTACAAATAACAGCTTGAAGACCTCAATAAAAGGCATTGGGCTCTTTTTAGGAAGAGCTAGCTCAAAGAGGACTTCATAAAGACAATTTCCGCAAACCGGAATGAGATAATCATAGGGTCACAAAACTACTGGCCGGGCCTTCTGTCGGATGGCATTGCTATTTTGCTGGAGACGCGTCAATATGATTCTCAAAGTTCAAAGCCCGTGATGTATCACCATTCAACCTTATCTAAACCCTGGAGGCAAATATTGCTTAGCTGTTGCTGTTACCAAATGTTATACATGGGAAAGCCGTTTTACACATTTTAAGCCGGTTTTACCACCTATATCATTGGAACAAGAATATAATAGGTAGGCCATAAATAGTATGGTATACATATCTTCAACTTGATACAATAAGTGTACTCAAGGAACAATCTGGTGGTCAGGAGCCGCAACCCCAAACGGCAGTCTTCCCGTCAACCGAAACTATGACCGGCCACCATTTCAGGGACGGAACTATTACAAGATGATGATATGTTGATATTTGATATCCTTCCTTGGCTTCAGCTTTGTTTCAACTCTAAATTTTATGTCGAGAAGAGGACATGGCTAGCCACTCTCAGCTAGGCAAAATGGAGTCTTCGGGAAACCCCCCGAGTTACGAAGAGACCACGCAAGTCTCCAATTCTATGATAACAAAGTTCATCAGTCAACTTGAAACTGCGCGAAGTTGCAAGAACTTACTACATGTCCTCTTATCAGACAACGGACTAAGCCCCGACGACAAATGCAAAGCTATGGAAAAGACAGATGAGATCCCAGCCCTTGAACAAGAGAAAGAGACTATGTGCCTTGAAGATAGACTTCGGCTTCAGGACTCTCATAAGCTTGCTCAGTCGGTGTGCTATTGTTATAACATTCGATACGCCTCGAAGTACAAAGGTTGGTGCAAAGCACTGATTCAGGCTGATATTGAAATACGCTGGATTGTCCAACGAATAATATGGGTCCATCAACAGATACAAGACGGCGGGACTCAGGCCTTTGACCTATACCTCGAAAGACTGAACCCAAAATACTGGAGAGTGCACAGGAAGTTATGGATCGCAATAGACCGCATTGCCAGTAAATCGGCAGCACGAGCATTCGCAAGTCAAAGAATGCACATCGACTGGTATCTATCTGCTGAGCTACGGGAAGATTGCGAGAGGCGAGGAGGTTGCTGTGGGCGGACGTGTGGATGTTGCGAAAGACCACGAACGATCGATGGGCTTAACACAGAAGGGATGCATAACCGGGGCCATTGCACTTCAGCGTGCTCCTGTTGTCTGAACGCCCACGGGCTTAATGGTAATTATATTGGAGATGAGATCACAGACCTACAAGATCTTCGCTTTGAAACTACCATCACTCGATGGGCAGATCCCCATACCTTGCGTCTTCTCAAGGGTTACGTTTTTTATTTGAAATGAATCCAGCTTGCAATGGGACTGAGGGTTTTGCTTGGCCTCGGGCATAAATTGCTTTATTTGTGTGAAAGAATTTGGATTAATCAGCTTTGCTAGAAAGTTAGTTCCCTAAAGATATATGCGTAGGTTCTAGATGGGTTTTCATCGTGGACTTTCTAAGGTTGTTACATGTGTGTATTCAGGGTACTCAAAGAGAGCAAGAGCTCTAGTGAAACCTAACCCTCTACGTAACTGGGTGCCAATGATCTAAGCTTAGCTTCACCTCCATCTCTGCTACAGCTCAGTCAATTTTCTACTATGGGCAATACCAACAGCAACATCAATATGAAGCTTCCCAATTCTGCAAAGCCCAATAATGACAGAACCACCGAATTCCCATCAAGCAACATGCAATCTCAACAGACACTACCAACATACGAAGAGAGTACGCAGAACGCGATGACACAAAGCAGGTGGAACACGCCGAGACACCTGAGGATCTGCTAGAACCACTCTTGTCGGATAATTTGAGCATCGATGAAAAGCGAAAGCTCATAAAGCAGGCTCCAGATGTAGTCTTTGTAAGGGATGAAGGGGACCAGACAACCAGAGCTCTAAGCCTTGAAACTCGGCTTGAAAATTCAAACTACGACGAGCTTTTTCAAAGAGTAACCTACCGTTACTATTTACTCAATGCATCATTGGAGGAAGACTGGTGTGCAGAACTCATTAAGCTAGGTATTACCCTACGATTAATTGTCCAGTGCAGAGTATGGCTTGAGCAAAAGGCAAAAGCCCTACAGGCATGTCAAAGACGGTACCTGTCACACTATGATTTATCTAAACTCGAGGCTTATGAAAAGCAAATCCAATCTCTCAACTCAAGATACTAGGATATTCATAGGGAATAATGGGTCAATTCAAACAAGATATAAAGCGATTCCGCAAGACAAGCAATGATAAGGCAGAGAAAACACACGGATTGGTATCTCTCGGGCGTGCTTCGTGAAGACTGTGCAAACCGAGGGGGCTGTTGTGGACGTAGGTGTGGATGTTGCGAGAGACCACAAATGCCTGGTAGCAATACAGATGGGGTCCATGATCGAGGCCACTGTACTACATCATGCAGTTACTGCCTCAAAGCTCATAATATTGACGGTGAAAAGCTAGAAATGAAAGAAGTGAATGAAGTTCACTTCAAATTTCGTGATCACCACACCCTGCGACTGCTCAAGGGATACATCTTCTATTTGAATGGGATGGAATGAATATCAAATCAGATCAGGAGTTTTGCTTATGCTGGAAATGTTGCTTGGCCAACCTGAGTCATGTCCATAGGTCATTGCTTTATCTTCACTTAGCTAGAATAATACAACTGCCCAAGGTTAGCTCTATCATTAGTTTGCTTAGTTGAATATCATTAGAGGCAAGAAACAAGAAACAAAAATCTCTTAGAATCATTCGTTAACAGGGAGAATCCATTAAACTCAAAGTAAAACCACCAGAGGACACCGAAGTGCCCTCGTTCCCAAGACAAATGCCAATGCCATACCATCAAACGCCTATCGTCACATAAAGAAAAAGAAGAGAAAACAAGGTAAGAATCTGATCATACAATCAAAGGCCACTGTATGCCAAAGACATTCCATGGCCAGTTCTTCATCAACCTCAGCGGAAATTCACAAACATCGGTGGAAATAAAAAACATAGGTAGAGAAAAGAAAAAGAGGCATTGGTCTAGAACCCCTGTTGTTTTAAGACTCTTCGTCCCCGTCGACCACTGCGGCACGAAGTTCCCAAACCAAATCGTAGCATTCGGCAAGCAGATTATTGACACTGCCCTGACCCTCCGGGATATCTGGACCCACGTAGAATTTCCCATCGACTCGCATGTTATCAATCGAGTTGAGCTGTTTCGGTCAGCTTTTGTAGACTAGCGGTGTGGACGGTTACATACCTTCATGCTGTATGGGTAAAGTTCGCGCGAATTCGCAACGCCTCCAGACTCCTTGACTTCAATCAAGCACCGACGAAGAGTTTGAAGTTGGTTGTAGACTGGGAGTAGAGCTTCAGATACAGGTTCTGATGAAATCAAAAGCGCATAGATGTATGCATAACTGCGACGAATAAGGTACAGGAGCGTCTGATCATGTGTTAGCCAGATCCACCAAAGAATGCCCGAAAAGAAATTCTTACTCGCTGCGCATGCAGGTCCGCTGGCTGACCCTCAGCATCGACGAAATTACCATTAACCCGTGCCTCGTCAATTCGGTCGAGCTTTCGCTGGTATACGAAGAGATCGGTCTCGCGCAGTGACCAAGCTTGTGTTACGGACAAACGATCCAGTTGGTTGCGGATTTCCAACAAGCGTTCGTATTGATCGCGGAACCGCTCGTCAATTTTGCCCTCTCTGTATTTGAATCAGTTGATGTCCAATCATCCCATCGGCAATCTAGAACATACCGCTCGAGCACAATTTCAGTCCACCGCCAACACCTTTGAAGCAAAGCCTTGAGGCCATCCTGCCCCGCAAGAACACTTCCCTCGTCATCCACAAAGTTGCCGTCCTTTGCTGTCTTTTCAATTTTCTTCAATTGTTCTCGAAGAGCGTTTACTTCCGAAGCCGAGAACTAACAAATCAACCATCAGTTAGTACTAATCAGATACATTATACAAATATTCGATGCCATACCTTTGTCCGAGTGTTCACAGCGGATGTCGACCGCAAGATTGAAACTAGTGTCTCGTGTGTCTGCGCCAAGGGAGGAGCCAATACGGCAAGACCCTTCTGCAACTTCGCCAGTGACTGCTCGCATTGTTCCAGGCGACTTTCCAAGAGTGTGAGAAGAGCCGGTGAGTATGCGTTGCGGCCGCGCTCAAGAGTTTCCCGTGTAGACTCTAGTGTCTTGGTGATCGAGTTCAAATCCTTCGAGGAGTAGAATCCAGCCTCTTCAAGGTGGTCGAGCAGGCGCTGCAAAGTCGTTAGTTTCCAGAGCGCAAAGCTAACAAAATATGCTGAAAGAAATGCTAGGAGCAAGTACCTGGATAGTAGTCGCCAAGGAGTATCTAGCTAAATGTCAGTCACGGTCATAAGATGGCGGGGTAAAGACATTGTCGCTCACACTGCGGGAGCTTCGTTGTTCTTCCCAACTGTCAAAAACAGCAGGGAAATCAACTGGAAACAATCATCCAAGATATAATCCACTATCGTTGAATGTCAGCCACCTTCAAGTCGAGCGCGCGATCCACTAAACTCACGGCGATTGTGTACCAAACGGCGATCTTGCTCTTTACGAACCGAATTGAGCTTCTCGACTTCTGCGATCACTTCCTCATAAAGTGGTAGAACATCGCGGGACTTAATGTATGAGGACTTGTCCCGTTTGATTAGGAGCAGCGCGTCGCGAGTTCGGAGCAGGTTTTCAAGGATGGGCTGCTCCCGCGGATCCAGCGGGACCAGGATGGCGGGGGACTCCATGGTTAGAGAATGCGATAAGTAAGCACGTTGGAAAGCAAGGTTGAGGTCAGGTTGAATAGAAGAAATGAGTTTCTTTGAAGTAAAGACAAGTAAAACTGATCGTACGGTTGAACCCCACCGGGATGTGATGTCAATTGATGAATGGATCGATTGATAGCGAGATCCTGCAGATACGACCACATCGCACGGGCCCCGCCGCAGCCCGGAGTTTACATACTGGGGGATTATGTCATCTGGATCATTATGTCATCTGGATCTAGCTCCGTTTACGGCTTAGCGCAAAGTCACGAGGAGGGGGAGGGGCTAAGCCCAATTAGTCCAAGCCCTAAGCGAGGGCTTTTTCCCACACACGGCGCGTTTGCCCTGTTCGGGTGTCTATCATTGGCGTTCTCCTCTCTTCTTCTTTCCCATCCCCAACTCTCTTCAAGACACCCAGTCCGGTCAACACCACCCGTCGACATGTCTACCGCCGAGCTCGCCTGCTCTTACGCCGCCCTCATCCTGGCCGATGACGGTATTGAGGTCTCCGTACGTATCCAAAATTCTTTGATTTTGGTGGGATAGTGGAGGCTTGAAGATCGCACTTGAAGCTTTATTTACTGTGTGAAATTGAGCTTTGGGAGAAACACAACAAGCCGCTGCAAAGCCACTGGGATCGAGCGACGATTATGCGAAAACTGTAACTGACCTTCAATCTTCATTCAGGCCGACAAGATCCAGACCCTCATCACTGCCGCCAAGGTCCAGGAGGTTGAGCCCATCTGGGCCACCATCTTCGCCCGGGTAAATACCTGATCCCATTCCACAACCCGCGCCAATATCGAAACAACCCGAACATGGTCGCGCGACAATTTAAGATTCGATAACTAATACGATTTTCAACACAGGCCCTCGAGGGTAAGGACATCAAGGATCTCCTGACCAACGTCGGTTCCGCTGGCCCCGCTGCCGCTGGTGCCGCCACCGGTGGTGCCGCTGCTGCCGCCCCCGCTGAGGCCAAGGCTGAGGAGAAGGAGGAGGGTAAGTTTTTATATACACCTCTGGTCTGTTGAGTCACGATACTAATCCCCACTACAGAGAAGGAGGAGTCCGATGAGGACATGGGCTTCGGTCTCTTCGACTAAGCGTCTTATCTCCGTATCGAATTTAAAACTCGTTTCCTTTTTTCTCTATTCCTCAACCTCTCTTCCCACTGCCGCATAGCGGCTCCCTCGACGATTCTCTATTGTACTCGATACTCCACGACCCCCGCTACGACCTAGAACCCGGGGAAGAAAAAAAGAAAATTAGCAAAAGAATTCAAACGGACACGGACATTCAATGGAGACTGGGTGCTCGGTGTGCCTCCGTGTCATGATGTGGCCGAGGTAGACTCGATCGGATGCCACTGCGATTCCGAAACTATTGTTGCTTCCAGGATTTTAGGGGAATTGAAGAAAGACGTTTGGCACACTTCTTGATCTGCCATGATCAAAGTTCTACTTTGGTCTGGCGAGTAGATGTATGATTCGCTTTCTCGCCCCTTCACAATGGATCAGCTAGTTTAGTTTGCTCGGTCCTCGTGTTCCGTCTGTCATGCGACCATGAACCAACAACGAATGCCGTCTGATTCTCATATGGGGTACTTGTTCGTAGGCCATATGACGTAGTGCTGTAGAGCTGATCGTCGGTGTTGGACCACTCTCACTTTGATGTGTTCGATCTCAATGTGATCTTCTATTGAGTGAACCAAGCCCTTGTGGTTATGGCTCAGCAGACTAGTATCCTCATCGGCGGTACAAAGTGCAACATGCGTAGACTTTTGGACAATATCGCCTCGGACTTAGTGATTGCATTGATGATATCAGTCATGTGCGCTACTAGTCATTCCAAGGTTGCGCTATCACGAGCAACACACCCTACTATACACATCGACACTAACAACCACATATATCGGATTCAGTCGCCAGCTTATTATGAAAACAAACGCTATGCTATTCCAATTTTTTCCGATGTCCAGCATCACCAACAAATGCATGCAAATCACCTCTCATCCAAAGATTCCTGAGCTTGAAACCGAAATTCACATTCGACGGTATATAGACAGAGCTCATTGCTCTAGATACAGGGGCAAATGTCAATATTTAAGAAATCGCGGAGAGACGGGGGTCCTGGACAGCGTAGATCCGGAATTGGAAGAAGATGACCGCATCCTCAACCATAGTTCCCAGCGATCCAATCAACCACGGAAGATTAGTGAGGAAATATTCTTTCTCTGTAGAATGGAAAAGAATCTATATCCACACTGTTAGCTTACGTCAAATTCATAGTACAACTTGCAGTATCACTCACCCCTGCACCATAAGTCAAGTTTCCGAGAAGAGAGAGAATAAAGAACAAGAGCGACAATCCTAGATAAACGTCAACACCCGCCTCACATTTGCATCAAAAGACAACAAGAAAATACCTTCGCACGACTTCTCACTGTAGTTTTTGTAAATCTGAGGCAATCTCGCTCTACAATCAAAGTCAATACTAAGTTATCAGAACTAATGAAAGGAGGTACTCACCCCAGATAGCACACGGCACTGAAATACCCCAGCACCAGCCCCCCAGTAGCCTGCTCAGAACCATTGTTGTTCTCCAATGGCGCCGGCGCCCACATCCCCGTCTGCCAAGCCATGGTCCAACCAGCCATACCAATGAGGAAAATGCCAACAACACTAGCAAAGTTCTTAACCCACGCCTTACGGCCATAATCATTCTCCTCGACGATCTTGGCCAGGGTATCCTCGACCTCGCTCTCGCGCCGGCCACTAGCGTGATAACGGCGCAGTGAGCCCGATGACCGGCGCCGCGACTCGGAAGACGCGAGGGAGTCGCTGAATCGCCGCCCCAGCAATGGGGTGGTCGGGTCTGGGGTCTCTGTGGAGGAGCGTCGGCGGTGGAAAGGCTCCGGACGCGAGTTGCGTACTTTATAGTACAGACACTGCGCGATCAGCACGCCGTCTGCGATACAGAAGTATACTGCGATCGCGACGATCACGGGCACGAGGCCAGATAGTAGACCACCAGCGAGGTTTGCGGCATCGCCAATAAACCAAACACAGACAAAGAGGAGAGAGATAGCTTCTGAGTTGCCATTGCGGTAGTTTTCAATTAATTGAGGTACCTATCACAGTATTGTTAGATATGAATTAAGCCCACTTTTGTTTTTCAAGGTACGAGTCTGGCTTATCGTGCATGTTAAACATACCAAAAGGAAAAACCAGCAGGTCATAGAGACTGAACCCAAGAGACCAGATGCAGCCTCGCGGGCTGTTAAAGGTATAGGGCCCTGTTCCATTCTTTCTATGCTCTGGGACAAATATGTGTTGGAGTGAAAGAAAATTGCACGGGAGATGGAGATAAGGCTATGACACAATCTACTCGCCAGTCACCTGGACAGTCCCGCTTTGTCCAGGCTTTTCAAGGGTCCAAGCACATAAGGAAAATCTCTTGAAATATCATCGATGCTAATATTCTAACTAAGTATTTATATCTTAAACTACAGCCAATCTCTTTAGACAAGAAACATCCCTGTCAATTGACTAAACCTATCAGCACGGGATGACGCGCATCGGCCAAGCATTAGAGGATTTCTATAGCCAATGATACCCCTCATTATGGTCATGCAAGTCTACATTGCAACTATGTATGTTGTATGTAGTACTACCTATGTACTATGATCAAAGGAAATATGCAATCTGAATCAGGATTACTCCGATAGGATATAAATTCTCCGTCAAAATTGCCTTGTAGAAAAATCCATAACTAGTTATACACATAGAAAGGTCGACTGCGTAAAATATGTCGCTAAGCATCTTCTTTTAATCCCTACACATATAGTTATATAAACGTCGATTTGCGCATTTTAGGCCATTTGCACCTATGTTCTTCTAGCTACAATACCAGTAATGGGAAAATATCTACAAAAAAATACATATATAAAGACGCCAAAAGTCCGCATAAGCTACTGACTATTGTATATAGATTGTTGTATATATATTTGAGTCTTTCTCGGGATCACGATCTATAACGCTCGTAAGGTCAGAAAACTCTACGTAAACAATTGCCATAATTTTCTTTTTCGCCATGAGATATAGGTGGAGCATGCTAGAAATATAGCTTTCTAGTCAACTGTAATTCATAAGATAAGCCAGGGCCACGCTGTAAATGTTGTTACAATCTCAACATTGTGTATATATAATCATTCAATAATTTTCTTTTGTACCCAGACTAATACAGAATTCATGTTCATCATGAAGCTGGATTATTCTCCTCGCATAATCGCAAGTTCGTCCTCGAGCATGCTGACCGCAAAATCCCCAAGAGAGTCCTTGATAGTGCCATCCAACAACCGTTGGCGGGTTGTTTCTGAGATTGCTGCTATGGCCTCTAGATAATTGGTCAGAGGTGCATAGTCCACAACTACTTCGCTCCAGTTGCCTCTATCAACTCCGTATTGAGAAAGGAAAATACGAAGAGTTTGCAACCCCTCCCGCGTGAGCCACCCTTCAAGGGCTGCCGGGTCTCTGAGCGGTGGGCGTGAATGTGGGATATCGAAATGCTCTGTAGTCTCGTCCTCATTCTCAAAGCCAATTGGCTCTTCGTCGTCCGATGCGACATTAGGAGGGCGGGCGTCGTGGTTGATCTGGCCGAGGAGATCCTGCAGCCAATTTTCGCCACCTCCCGCAGGAGCTGCATAGATGGGCGTAGGTTCAGATTGTTGCTTGTAGGCTTCAGATTCATAGGGGGGAAGAGGATCGGAGGAGGACAGTCGACCAGCCACAAAGTGGTTTGGAAGATGGGTGGTCACTTTAGCTATATCGGACAACACCACATGACGAGCGATATCCAAAGTGATCTCCGGCGGATCATTAGGCTCCACCCCAGAGATGGAATCTGCGACTTCCATAATGAGAGAAATAGCCTCGGGGGTATTCCAAAGATCCTTTGCGCGGGCAATATAGAGTTCGGTAAGCAGCTCATCAGTGCCCGTAGGAGGCATTTTGCCCCAAATTTGCTTCGGAACGTGCTGAACATCAAGTTCCTGTGCTAGCCTGCTGAAAATCCACGGGTAGCGGGACATGGCGAGCTGCAGCTGTCGACGACATTCTTGGGGCTTGTTCAACCGGAGGTATGCTATTACCAGCGAGCATTGAATATTGGGGAGGTTGGCCCAGTCACGACTAAAGCGTGTCTGGGTGCAGAGCTGCACGAATTGTGCGTATTCTCTACCTCGGAGCGCGAGGTGGTCGATGAGCAGTCTCATGCAGTAAGGATCGCTGTCATCCAGACTGAGTAAGAGCTTGGCCCATTCATAAGCGGTTCTCCATGTGCCCTTCATTGCTAGATTGGTGATGTACCTCCATCCAACAAGCCAGAGCTCTCGGTTCTCCGCATGTATGAAATCAAGTCTGGCCTCGCCTTCCTTTAGGCGATTGGCAAACGAAGAGTGCACCGAGCGTCCGATATTGAATAGAGCTCTTTCCATCAGATCGGCAGACACAGCATGGTCACCTTGGTGTTTGGCAATCTCCGACACTTGGAGAAGTGTAGAGATATGGTACGGGTTGTATTGGAGGTGTCCGATGAGTCTCTGTGGGTCCATAGATTCAACACAGAGGTCGAACTGCCGTTGTACATCTTGGTAGGCGGTATTGTGCACTAGTCGGTAGAGAGTCTCCCCGGAAGGAAGCTTCTCCACAGTCTCCATGCCTAGTCCTCCACTTGGAGCACGAGGCCACTCATCTTTGCCCTGCATAAGAACATTGCGTCGCAATGTAACTCCAGCCAGACTTTGGCCTCGGCTAGCTGGACTGTATCTTCCCGTCAAAGCCTGAGCAAGGTCGACCATTTGTCGATTGCGATCCCGACGGCGGCCCGTTCCATTATCCGCTTGTTGATCAAAGTTTTCTAGAACAACATTTCCAAACAGTCTGCGCATCTCATTCGTTGCATTGAGAAATTTGGGTTCGATACCGAGCAATTCGCTTGTAGTCTTTGGGAAAGAGGCCTCGGGAATGTATCTGGTAGATACACCTGTGCTAACTGACGAGTGCCCACCTGTCGATAACTCCTTCAACGCCCGATCAATTTCATCCAGATCTGCTTCATTTGATTTTGAAGGTGGGGTATTGGCGGGATCAGAGGTTTTGGCTGCCTTCTTCCTTTTTTTCTTGTTGCTCTTTTTGGACTTTATTGGGGTTGGTTCAGGCTCCGGTGTCTGCGCACGAGGTTCCTCCTCAATTTCCTCTTCGTCTTCCTCCTCATCCTCGTTTTCGGCATTCAGCAAATCAAAGGCATTGAATTTCGGTTTCGCGGGGCGCGGGGCTTCATCTTCGCTTGACTCATCTTGCAAGTCGGCTTCTCGCTGCTGTTCTTGTTCACGCAGCTTCTGCAGTTTTCGGATTGCTCGTGAAGACATCCTGCACACTGAGGCAAAAGCCTTTGAAGGGTTCGAATCAAAGTCGTCTGCGAAAGTGGAAACCAAAAAAAAGAACACGCCGAAACAAAGCCGCGGGGAATGACGACAGAGACTAATGCGGATTAGCGCCCTTGGGGATAACATTCACACGTGACTTTCATCTTGAGGAGACCGAGCTCCTTGTCAAGCTTCGAACCTCATTTACATACAATCTCAAGCTATTATCTGCCTTGCATAAGGTACTGAAGTTTATCAGCTGTTATATTTACTACTGGACTAATGCGTCGGGCGACTGTTCAGGCCTGCCGTACTGCTCGGCGTGCACCAGTATGGACCATTGCCGCTAAACGGCCGTGCTCTTTGACCTTCAACCAGCTGCGAGGTATTCGGCCATATTCTGGCGGCAGACGCTCATCCCACACTCCGGTAGCTCCCCAATCATCTATGCATCGCCGCAACCTCTCCCTCGCCGTCATCTCGACCGTCGTTGCCTCCGGGGCATGGTATGCTTATCAGGGTGACACCGTTAAATCGGCAGCAACCCAGATCCGGGGTTTCGCATCAAGTGCTATCAACTCCGCCTACGCAGAAGGACCTGCTGAGTCCACGCGACGTGCATTGCTGGTCAGCGGCGATCAATTCTACACCGCAACACTCTCCGGAGACCAGCCTCTTGCCAAGCATACAGACGATTCAGACCGCCAAGTCCTAGAAATGTTGACCCCTGAGCAAGCGACCCAGAAGCTTCGCAAGAATGAGGAGTCGTATTTGGTCAATCGGGGCAAGGGCGTTGTGCGTTACGATGTTGTTCAGGTTCCCAGCAACTCCCCCATTGAGGATGACCATGCGGAGAAGATAGTGGAGATTCCAGCATCCGTGGCTGCTGTCAGCAATGGCGAGCCGAGCAGTGACTGGATGTTCTGGGGAGTTTTCGACGGCCATTCGTACGTTATATCACGGTTGAATAATTTGAATGCCAATACTAACTTTAAATCAGGGGCTGGACTACATCTGCGAAACTGCGCAATGTTTTGATCTCATATGTGGCCCGTGAATTGAACACAACCTATAAGGCTGCTTCTGCTGATCCGTCTCTCCTCGTGCCAACATCTGAGGCTATCGATGCCGCAATCAAGAAGGGCTTCGTCCGCCTCGACAATGACATCGTACATGAGAGCTTCAAGGAAGTCCTGAAGTCTAAATCGCGACGGGTTGCCGCTGAGCTTCTTGCTCCTGCTCTCTCAGGATCATGTGCTCTTCTCAGCTTCTATGACTCCCAGTCCAAGGACCTCAAGGTTGCTGTTACCGGAGACTCTCGCGCAGTTCTGGGCCGTCGCGGCCCTAGCGGGAAATGGACCGCAACTGCTCTTTCCGAAGACCAGACTGGCGGTACCCCATCTGAAATTAAACGCTTGCGTGAGGAGCACCCCGGCGAGCCATATGTGACCAAGAATGGCCGAATTCTCGGCCAGCTTGAACCCAGCCGTGCGTTCGGTGATGCCTTCTACAAGTGGAGCCGGGACGTCCAAGATACGATAAAAGCGAAGTTCTTTGGGCGCACTCCTCATCCTATGCTGAAAACGCCCCCCTATGTCACCGCCGAGCCTATCATTACTACCACCAAGATCGATCCCTCCAAGGGTGACTTTGTTGTCATGGCTACCGATGGTCTGTGGGAGATGCTGAGCAATGAAGAGGTTGTCGGCCTGGTTGGTCAGTGGGTTGAGCAACAACAATCAGCTGCTGCAGGCACTGGTAGCAAGGCTTGGTTACAGAGTTGGTTCGGGTTCGATAGCCAGAAGAAACTGCCCGTGGAAACTGCAACCGACGGGTCGACTGAAGGCCAACGGCGTCCCATCCGCCAGCAGCAATATGAT